TGCAGTGTTGGCTCAGTGTGTTGCTCACTGACACATTTAAGGGCTTCAGGTTGTTTTCTATGATAAATCTCCAACGTCAGTTCTGTCAGATTTAAACGTCACCGTCCGTCTGATTCTACACAACAGAAGAGACCGAAAGAGAGAAAAGAAAAGAAGAAGAGAGATGAAGAGGAACAGAAAGAATGATAAAGTGTTGACTGATTACAACAACAATTTCAATTCCAGGCATCGAGTTTCCTGCACAGTAACCGAGCAAAGGCCAATTTAACGACGAGGCTCTACAGGGATTTCAAACACAGCTTCCTGTGACTTTGTGTCCCTCTGTTTTACCCATGATGCAACATGATCCACTGTCATTCATGACGAGTTAAACATCACTTCCTGTTCCTGTGTTTTAACTTGATGATAATCAGCTGAGGTTCATATCTTCAATTCTTACAATTAAATAAAGAAACAAGGCTTTCGATTCCGAACACTTGTCACCACCTGGTGGCCACTTCATGTATTACCGATGATACAAACCTCATTAAAACTATGAAACCAGGACTTAATGAACTCACCATGAAAGTACATTAAATACTACACGAAGTACTTTAAAACACCTCCTTCAATGTGACTCAACATAAACTTTCTCTTTGATTTACATCAAAATACAAAACACAAAACAACACACAAAGGTTTGTTTCTCTGGAGTTTTTCATTATTTATATATATATATATATATATATAAATATTATATGTATAATCTATAGTATACATTTATATTCATGATACATTTTAATAGAAAAGCTTGACTGAAAAACACCAAATTGAAGGATTAGATCATTTGTGCTCAATGGTCAGGCGCGTGCGTCTGACTGATGCAAATGAAAGCGCCTCAGCTGCGCCCCCTTGCGTCCACAGTGTGCAGCTGCAGAGGAGGAGGAGGAGGAGACACCAGGAGAGACACCATCGACAGATTCACACACACACACACACACACACACACAGAGACATGAAGGCAGAGCTGCGTTCACCTCCTGCACAGACCTGCAGATGATGAAGATGAGAAGGATGATGATGATGATGATGATGGCGGCTCTGTGAGGACGTGGGAGCAGGAGGTCTGCTGGTCGGTGTGTTGTGCAGCTCGTTGTGTCGTGTCGTTGGAACAAGATGCATCCGGAGGACACGCGTGTTTTACCATGAGAGCAGGAGGCGGCATGGATCTGCTCTGGAGGATCCTCGCTGCTCTCAGCCTCGACTGCTTCAGAGACTCTTCGTCCTCGAGGTGAGAGCTGATGGTTCGGTTCCTCGATTTAAAGCCAAAGATCATCCACCTGTGATATTCTGATAATCTGGATAATCCCATGTTGTGTAATCTTCACTGCACATCAGGCAAAAGCTGAATTGTTTTTTTTTTTTTAAGTTTATCTCAGTTTATCTTTTATTCTTAAGGTAAAATATCCTCCATCGCTCCCCAGTTGTTATGACAACAGGTTTTCTGAGCCACTCTCGTTCTGTCAGTGAGCTCAGATGATGTTACACAACCTGCCTCTGAATGTGTCCACAGCGTCGAAAAGGCCACATTGATTGTTTGACTGATTCGGTTTATCAGTGATGCAGGTTTCCACTGCAGCAAAGCAACAGGCTGCACCGGAGTCCAGACGTTCGGAGGGATACAGATTCCTACATGAGCCTTTCAGTGAACCTTCACCTCTGCAGATTATTGAGCAATCTCCACCTTAACTCCACCTCAACCGTGGTGATTTCAGGTTTTACCAGTTATTAAATCTTCACCGGGGACAAATCACAGCTTGTTCCTTGTTTGACAAACTGCAGCTGCTGCAGCGACAGATGTTTTTAAGATATTACAGAAAAGTTATTCTCGTTATTCTGGGGATTATTTAGAGTTTTGTGTCTTCTAACTGTTTAATTCTAGCAAAGATCACAGAGGACACGCTGCACACCACATTTAGATTCAAGAGATCCAGATTTCTGTTTGGATCAGCGCCCCCGGATATGTCTGATTAGTTTCCATGATTAATTATTCTCTGAGAAATGAAGGAAAATGTGGAAAAACAATGAAAAAAATAAAATAAAATCCCTAAATGAAATGCTTTGTGTGGAACAACAGCTCGAATAACGTGTTCTTACTCGTCCCGTCCTTCCACCGAGTTTCATGGGAATCTATTCAGTGTTTTTTTGTGTAATCCTGCAGACAAACACACACACACACACACAGATTGACAGAGGTGAACACGTTCCCTCCGTGGTCGACATGATAAAAGCAGCAAATCCTCACGTTTGAAAAGCTGGAACCAGAATATTTGGTTTTTAAAAACTAGAGCAGCTCCCAGCAGAGCTCTTCGAGTCACCGAGGCCCCGACAGCTCGTTTCGATTCAGTCGAGCTGCAACTCACACACTCAGATGTCTGATCCACTGCAGGCGCCAGACTGTTTCCATCCAGATCCATAAATCACTGAACGTAAAATGAGACAACTTGTTAAAGGAAGTGATGTCGATCTGTGCAAACATGTCAGTTCTTAAAGTTTCAGTTTCACAGAGAATGAATCACAGATCTGGATCAAACATCGGGAGTAGAGTGAATGTAAATTTGGTTTTATAAGGTTGAGTGTCGGGTGAAGGTGTTTGGTTTGAGCCGTTCTGATTTATTATATGATTGTTGATTGGGTTTGTTTTATTTATTTGAGTATTTAGTTTATTCTACTTCCCCAACAATCTTTTTTGAAAACAGTATCAACCCAGAACAGCAAATCTCTAACTCATCAAGAAGAATAGATTATTCTTCCATTGATCCAGTGTCCTCGTCCTGTCCTCGTCCTGTCCTCGTTCTGTCCTCGTCCCTCTCAGGTCTCCCACCAAGCTGAGCTCCAGTCAGGCCGGCAGCCTGGACAGCAGCTCCCTGACCGGCTCGCTGTCGCTGGGCCCCGACCACCCGCACTGCCAGTGCTGCATCACCTACGAGGCCCGTCTGAAGCGCCTCTCCTGCGGCCACTTGTACTGTGACCCCTGCTGCGACCAGATCGTCAACCTGGCCTTCGAGGACATCGAGGGCCTGTCCGACTACCCCTGCCCCATGTGCAAGTCCATCCGGCAGCTGGGGGGCCTGGGGCCTTCCTCCTCCGGGTACTTGTGCGGGTCCTACAGCCTCCTGCAGGAGCCGCAGTGTACGGGGAAGGAGCACGGGAGTCGGTGGTGGTGAACTCTCAGCTCCTGCACGACCCGGTTGATTCTTCTTCTTTTTAACGCACTGCCGTGAAAACGAGGCGAAGACCTTGGGACTGCAAACTAAAGGTCGTGTCGCTCTGCTCGGTCTCGCTCTGTCGTCTGTCGTCTTCAGGTGAAACGTGACAATGCATGACGTCAACATCCGTAGGTTTAAAGTGACGCAATGTGCAGAAAATAAAAAGGGGGCTCTGTTATGATTTCCTCGTGATGATCTGTCAAAGTTTTCTACCAACTCATGTTTTAAACCTGTGACATGTTTGGAGGCGGAGCGACTGTGTTTTGGATATTTTGGATATTTAACATTTTCCTGTTCTTACTTTGTACGTTTCCTGTTCCAGCGTTGAGCATTTTGCACATTGACTCTCAGAGAGTTTCACTCTGACTCCACACATCATGCAGGATTTTTACATTTTAATTCTACTGCTTTTTAAGTGTTCCAGATCATATTGTAAATATTTATTTTGTTAGAAAATAAAGTTTGTGAGCTGTGTACAAGAACAGGCTGGGTTTTTTTCTTTGGTGAGAGTTCGTGAAGCGATAACACTTTTTCTTTTTATTCATCAGGATGAAAACATGCTGATACAAAACATCTGTACATCTGGCAAATTGAAGTGAAGTTCATACCAAAAACATTAAATTACACAAAGATACAAACAGAAGCAGGAGATCGAATTAAAGTTTCTCTGCAACAGGACGATGTTTTTTTTTTTCTATGGAAGACGAGGAACGCACTGGACTCACACCTGGAAAGTTCTGGAATTGTAGCCGATATCAGCATCGATAAATATGAAGAACAATTGAATAATTCATAGTGCTATCAAGTGAGGTACCTTTAGACAGAAGCTGGACATCAGTCGCATCTGACGACGAGAAAAACAGGCTTTTTTTAAAAATACATAACAAAATGAAACCATTCGTCCGTGGGAATGACGCCAGTGCATCGACCTGACGTCCACATCATGCGAACGACAACCTGTTTGGATTTAAAGGCGCAGGAGCAGACGGCGAATTAAAGACGGTCAGACACTTCCGAGTCCTTGACCTGAATGCCGGCTGCTCACCGATACACCCCCCGAGAGGAGAGGAGAGGAAAAACAGAGGTGGAGATTTAAGCTTCTCTTTGCTTCCTTTCTTCACTTTCATCAGAACAGCAACAATAATGTTTTTCATTTTCAATTCCAACGAAAATGTCTCAAATTAATACTAAACCTGGTCGGAAATCACACAAGACATCAGATATCGATCACTCTGGTCAGAAAACACTTCGGTCGTTTTACACAGGATTATAAAAGCAAAGCCCTGACGTGACCCCAGTCATGACACGGCAGTAATGTTCTGTGAGCGCGGCCTCATCCAGACACACAGAGGTTAACATAACACTGAGCTGAATATAGGCCTCTCTCGCTCCGCGCAGGAGGAGAGATATGAGAGCAGAACCAAAATAGCTCTCGTGCCCTAAATTCCACGGTGAAGTCGCTGGTCGCAGCTGCTGCAGCTGAAAAAATCAGAAATGATTGTTTTCAGAAACGAGATTCTGCTTTTCCGTGAGCTGAGACGAGAAACGAAATAAAAAAAAACCCAGAGACGAAGTCTGGTGGTCACACAGGCGGAAGGTTAAACCAGTGAACAGCCGTGGTTTGTCCATTCACCGCGTTGAGTCCTCGACCACCACCCTCTATCTCAGGTCACTGGAACACTTGTATGATAAGACGCTTAAAATGGAAACTGTCTTTCTGTCTCGAAGCGTTTCTAGAGTTGAAGCAGTTTCAGATTCTGTGCTTTGAAACATGTTATTCATTATCAAGCATCTTCAGCCCATGCTCGTTTGATTTTTTTTGCTTCTCTGCCGTTCGATATATTTAATTAGACGAAGAACGTAATACCGTGTTTTGTTTCTATAAAATATAAAACAGTTGTCACATTTCTTAAATACAGTACAGACGATAAATAGAGTAAAGGGCTCGTTCTCATCGTTTCATCCTTCTGCTCAGCTCATGACGCCACACCGTCACTTAGTTTGGTGCAGACAGGACGTGGAACGGAAACAGTGACGACGAGTCATCAGGAAGCTATCGATCCGTTGCTCTTTGGCAGCTTGGCGTTACTGGGCGCTGGGTGGTACCGCTGGTCAGGACGGGCCTCTGCTGCTGAAGAGTGCCCAAACAGGAAGGTGTGCTTGCTGCCGCCGCCGCCACTATTGTCCTTGTGGCTTGGTCTGGATGGTGGGGCTGCGGCTGGCGGAGGAGCGCCCCTAGAGGTCTGGTGGTTGGCGGAGGTAGGAGGGGGCGTCGCCCGGGTCACCCCCGTGCCGTGGGGCCTTGAAGCCGGGAAGAGGAAGGTGCCGTTGTTGGTGTTTTGGTTCAGGTTGGTGTCGGTGCGCCGGCGCTCGGCTGTCTTGACGGGCGAGTTCTCCTCTGCGGTGGTGGACACCTGTGCCAGTTTGTCTTTGAGCAGCTGCACCTCCCTGGCGAGTCGCTCCACGGGGTGGGGGTGGTTGGCGGAGATGGGGTGGGAGAACGCCTGAGGGTGAAAAGCAACAAGGTCAGACTGAAAACATCCACAGAGCAGTGAATCATCACTGGAATCAAACCTCCAGGACGTCTGGTGACAAAGTCTGAAACTGTTTTCAAGAGCATGCTTCCTCTATACCTGTGCATGGAGCGCCCCCCGGAGGTAGCACTCCCTCCACAGACCCATGCAGGGCCCCATAAGGAGGGGCAGCAGAGGCTCGTAGGGGTCAAGTGGTCCTTGAGATCCAGAGGTGGAAGAGGGGCCCTGGGGAAGCTCAGTCAGGGACCAGGATTTCAGCAGCCGCTCCAGGCCGGGCACGCTCTCGGAGGATGGCGCCCTCCGGTGGCTCTTCTTGTAAATGCCTGAGCTGCTGCTGCGCCAGGGAAGCAGGTTAGCGGGACAGGAGAAGGTTCCTCGAGAGAGGAGGACGACCGAGCCGGGGGTGGTGTCTGTCAGCTGAGGGAGAGAAGAGTCAGAGTTTATTTTACCGATATCAATCCGTCATGTAAAGAACTCAGTGACATAATCATCAACCTGGATCAGACGTGTTTCGTTGTTTTGAAGTTACAAGTTCCCAGGAACTTGTAACTCAAGTGCTCAGACGCTGACGACCCATTAAACTGTACCGACTGTAAAAAATACCTGTGCAATACAATGTGTTGTCAAGCAACAAACAGGATCTGAACTAATATCTGTCAATGTACAAAACTGAAAATAAATGAACATCTGACGACGTCTGTTGTTAAACTGACAGCTCCCGATCATGGCCACCAGAGGGTGTATTGCATCATGGGAAAGAACGGTCCTACCTTGTGCGTGTCTGGGTTTGTGTTGAGGTTTCCGTTGAGCAGGGGCTGGAGCGGTGGGGTCGGGGGGACGGGTTGAGTGAAGCGGTCTCGTCTGGGTTTGCTGTACTGCAGCGCCCAGTCCCACACGGGAGGCAGAGGAGGGTCTGACGGATCTGAGGACGAGTCCTGATGAAGGGCGTCCCTCCAACCATTCACAGGCGTGTAGGACTGCCCGTTGTTCTGGGCATAGCAGAGAATAAGGTTATACAATTTTTAAAAACACATTTTCTGATGAATGCTCTTTTCTCTGCAAGTTTGTGCAAAAGGTTGTATCGGCTGTAAATAGAAATAATATGATAATATTCACAGATCAGCCTTTATGGCCATTTTTTCAGTCCAGAGACACCAAAACCAAAACTCAGGTGTCGGGTACCTGGGAGCGTTTGCATCTCTCTCGCTGGCAGTTGCCCAGGAAGCTGGAGAAGAGAGGCAGGTGGATGCTGTCGTGCAGGGCCAACAGGAAGTCCTCTGTCAGCTGGAAGCGAGACGGATACTGGGACCACAGCTGCCACACACAGTCAAGGAAGAGCAGGAAGACCGGAGCCTACAGGGAGGGAGGGAGGGAGGGAGGGAGGACAAGAGACGCTGGAGGTCAGGAAGACGAGGTAGAAGACAGATTTGTCCTCGGCTGCAGCCCCTCAGTGGGAGGTGAGGCAGAGCGGTTGAAAGAGTCACAGGGAATCCAACACCAGACTGCAAAGTCTCACCTCCTCTTTGTCGTTGTCGCGGTGGTAGTTGATGCGGCTGTAGAAGCGGTGGCCGGACATCACCCACTCTTTCTGCACCAGGCTCTGGAAACCACACTGGGTCCGACAGTGGGGGTCACACATCACCTGCACCAGGCTGGACACCACGCAGCTCATGTCCCGGTCGTCCGCTTCTGCAACAGCCGAACATGAGGAAAAAAGGTCATCGAACTTCGCTTCAGACCTCGTGGCACTAACAGACCGTCACCAGTTCAAACCAGTTAAATCAAACATTTGACTTTTCCCTCGAGTCTCAAGATAAATGAATGTGCTGCTTCATGTAATGAACGGTGCGTCCGTGTCCTCACGCTGCACGGAGGTCTATTGACAGCGTGCTCGTCCCTGTGGCTACTTCAAGGCGAGCCCTGATGTGGGATTAATGGGAGGGAGGCTCCGTGAATAATGAATGGATTGAATAATGTGAGCCGGGCTCCTGGGTCACGTGACTCACCTTGCAGTGCCACGGTCAGGTGACCGCCACGAAGCAAGCAGGCAACTTCTGAAGCTTTCCTCAAACAGGACCTGGAGACAGGGGACAGGTTGATGGGAAAATATATATATATATGATGAATATATGAATATGTGAAGGAAACACATTCATGTGACAAAAATGTTTTGTACAAATACTGAGTCTAACAAATAAGGAGTTAAGTATTAAGATACTATTAAGGCGCGTGTTGCTTAAAAAACGTTCTAAGTTGAATGATCTAAATGCAGCTTAATGCACCTTTGGTTATTTTACAGTGTAAAAACATATTCACCAAATATATCCCTGAATATTTCAATGTTTTTTAAGGTAAACGATTGTGTAGAAAGTACCTTTAAGTAATAATAATACAATTCTAGGGAGAAAATCAATAAGTTCAGAAGATAATACACTGATATGTAATATTTTCTCAGGGTTTTAGGGCCTGAAATCACAGTTTTTCAGTCAGTTAACAATGAAACGATGAAAACTCCAAAATAAAACCGAACTGGAAAACCCTGCCTTTTTTTTGGTTGTACGCATATTTTGCCAGACTTGGCCGATCGGAGCCGTTACCTTGTGTAGTCGAGCCAGTGGGTGCTTTCCAGGGTAGATAACCACTTGTCATCAGGCACCGACACAGATGTGGAGATATCTACGAGTCAAAACAGGAATAAAACAGATCACATTCAGACGTTATATCTACCAGAGCATGAGCCACAGAAGAAGAAGGAGCGTGTGGATGTGGGAGGACTTCAATGTAAAAACTGGTGCAAGACCACGGACACAACAATGAGATGGTTTACTGTGTCAGTACTCTGTTTATGTATTAATACTGTTTAATTCAATACATCTTCCAGACCTTAAAGAGTTCCTTTTGAAAAGTCGTTTGCCAATTTTGTTAAAAATACCAAGTAAAATTTAATGTCTTCAATTCTTCTTCTGAATGTTTCAACATCTTAGAGACAAACACAAACATGTGACCCTCACTGTGGTCGTTTTATATTTAAACTGTTAGTGAACGAGCAGTTTTCATCTATTTACAACCGCTTAACATCCGAGAACTTCTTTACACAACCTGCTCAATATAATCATCATCGAAACGAATCTTAAATGTGACGTCCTCTCTCTCTTCAGCTGCTGTGAAAACTAACAACCCACTGAGTCTTCACCAAAAACACCGAATACATCTGAGCGTCTGTTTTCACCGAACAATCCACTGAGCCATGAAGCACTCGCCCACAAAAGACACAACACAGAGCTGACAGATGTGTGAGTCTGTGTGTGAGTCTGTGTGTG